TCTCAAACCAGTTCAGCTCCTCTTCCACCAGAGTGCATATACACATACACAAGTATGCATCTTTAGCCTTTTCATTCTATTTTGTGGTTCCCAAACTTTAATCCTCCAGGTATTTTGGACTTCAGCTCCCAGAATTCCTGGCTGCTGGGCCAGCTGGCTGGGGCTTCTGGGAGTTGAGGTCCAAACACCTGGAGGACCAAAGTTTGGGAACCACTCTTATTTGAATCTTACCTTTCCTCTAGCTCTCAAGACCATGCACATGGTTCTCCTACCCCAACAAGTTATCCCCACAACCCTATGAAATGGACCAGGCTGAGTATATGTGACTGACCCAAGGCTGACAGCTAAATGGCGATTTAAACTCAAGTCTTCCTAGTCATAGTCCAACACTCTAGCTGTTCTGCTGCCAAACCACAGTATAGAGATTGCTGTAGAAACAAAATCTCTCATTGCACTGGGCAATGAGGTGAATGTGACTTCTTTTTGTTGCAATGTCTTTCTTTAAACCATCCCTTCCCCTCTGCTATACCAAAGAGGGTTCTTTGCAGCATCTCCAAGGCCAGGCCAGCCAAAGGTACTTGGTGCCTGACGGAAAGGCCAGGGTGGTCCTTCCACCATGTCCAAACACCAACCCAACTGGCAGATTTAATCTTACTTCAACACTGGTGACAGAACAGTGTCCTTCACTGCATCTGAAGGGCAGCAGCCCAGCTTAGACTGGCTCAGATGTAAGACACACAGCTTTTTCCTCTAGTGTTTCTCTGACACTACCTGCTCCTCAGTACTTGTGCATGAAGCAGCTGCTTCACTCTACCTAATGATAGCACCAGCCCTGCTGAAGGGAAGTAAACAAATGGGGGGGAAAAATGTGGAAAACAAAGGCTGTTGAGGCACCTGATTCAATGCTGGTGATTTCAAAAGATCCGGGGTGAAGTCTGAGCCTGTATTCTACCCTCTCAAAGTTTATCTTTATGTGTCTTAAAATCAACTGCCAACTTAGATAAACCCCATGAACTTCATAGGGATTTCTTAGGCAAGGAATACTGAGAAGTGGCTTTACCTGTTTCTTCCTCTGAAATATAGCCTACAGCACCCTGCTTAGTTTCCAAGATCAGGCAGGATCTGGTGCCTTTAGGATATTTAGGCCCCTCCCAAACTAACACCTCCTAAAGTGAGAGTCTGTAGTACAGCATCACTACCTGTCACACCATCAGTCCCACATTCAGCTATAGACATCTCCAGTACCAAAAGAGAAGGCAGAGTTGATCTGAAAAGACTTTGGCTGTGAGTGAGGCTACCCGCAGGGGCAGCGCACATGCTTTGCATGCAGAAGGTCCCAGATTCACTTCCAGGTACATCCAGGTGGATCTGAGAGACACTGCTCTTTGAAAACCCTGGAGAGTCCTGCCAGTCAGAGCAGTGATGTAGACTAGAGTCGATTGTCTCAGACTCAAGTTGCTTCAATTGCTTGACTTGGACTCGAATCAGTAATAAATGACACACTGGCTTTGGTTCAGTAACATAACACATTCACACTGTTTCTTAGAGGGCAACATCAACATGCATGTTGCTCTCCTTTGAGAAATGCACCCTGCACTATGAGGGCACTTCTTGCCTGCTGCTCCTAGGAAAAGCTTTAGAAGGCTCCTCCAACATGCAGCAAGGACAGGCTGCTGAGTAGATCTCATTTTCCTAAAATACAATCTTCATAAGTTGCCTATAATTTATTTATATTTTACTTAAGTTTGTGCGGTCTTGATTTTTGTTATTGAAACTCCCCATCCCCTACATACACCCATCCACTACCACTTCCTTTTTTCTGTTAAAGTTGGCTCTCTTGAAAGTACGGTACTGTATATTGCAAGGGCTTGAGACTTGACTTGAGACTTGAAAGGAGAGGTTTGAGACTTGGGAGTAAAAGACTTGAATACATCACTGAGTCATGGCAGACGATACTGTGATAGTATTGTGCCACAACCTCATGGCAAAAGGCAGCTTCCTATGACTGAACAAGAGGTTCAGAACCTTAACCTGTATGCTTTCACTATCCGACCTGCTGACCAGAACTCTTCAGTCTATGGAAATCCTGGGGACATCTCTTATTTTGACTTTGTGAAAAAGTACCATTTAGTGTTGAAGTAGAGCCCTCACAAATTAACCTGTTAGTTTTTAGGCCTAATGTTAAATGTGCAGTGCCAGTGTCTGACATCAAATTATATTTTCCAGTTTTTACCTGGAAATATTTCATATACATCCACAAGCATTACTAATTAACAGCTGGCAGGCAACAATATTTGCATTTCACTATATTTCCTAGCTAACATGCAAAGGTAATATGACTTGACTAAATCTGAGCGCTACCATGCAGAGGTATGAAGATTTTAAGCATATGTAAATAACCCAGCATGAATATTAGTACTTTATCACTGACATGCAACATTGTTTACTGTTTGATAGCTGAAATGGAATGGTATTATTTGATAATAGCCATGCAATAGCATCTACTAGTAATATTTCATAGCCGACAAGCAATGAAGTTCAGTATGACTATTTTAAAGTCACTAGCTTATGTTGTTTTATATTCAACACTTGATTAAAAACCAACAATCAAGAGACCGCTTAATAATATCTAAAGCACTCATATTTTGAATTTCAAATTTAGTATGCAAGAAATGACACTTGACATTGCAGCAATTTTCAAAATTTGCTCCAAAAGCTCATTTCTGCCTCAGTGTCATTAAGTCTGATGAACTTTGGACTGTGAAGTTGCCACAACCTGTCATTGTGGAGAAATGACTAGCATAAGGCAGTGCTTTCTTGAACAAATGTTTCACTGTGTTCAGGATGTGCCCAAAGTTTTCCCTTCTGTGTGGACTCCTTCGTTCTGAACCAGGGACCCTTGAACAGTAAGCCATTTCCCAGCTGCTAACCATTCATACAGTTTGTTTTCCTGAGCAGCTTCTCCAGAGTCACGCAAGGCTTGATTGGTCAACAAAATGTTCTCCACACATTGAGACAGAGGATATCCTGGAATAAGAAATGAGATTCAGAAATAAAATTAATAGAGAGGACTGTCAAAGGGGTGAGGAATAACCTGGAATTGCAAAGCCATTACCACCACCTCCTCCAAAAAATGAGAAAGAATCAAATCTGAACTAAAGTGGGACCATGTTACTCTGATCTTACCTCTATACTAGGGCTAGGCAATCCAGCGGCCCTTTTTTTTTTTTTTTTGCCCCTGGGACCCCCAAATGAGCTGTACCACTGCTGAAAAAGAAAAACAAAATGGTCCAAAATATACAGGATTTCTGTAATTGCACTGAACCATTTTAGTAGGGTAAGACAAAGCATGGGGGAGAGGGGAACTGTGCTTGCACTGAATAAGCTGAAAGCTTAGAGGTGGTGCTATTCACCTTTGGGGACAGTTTTAGGTATATAAGTTGAGTCTCCATTATCCAAAATACCTAGGAGCAGAAGTGTCTTGGATTTTGGATTTTTTCAGTTTGGGGAATACTTGCATATACATCATGTATCCTGGAAATGGGACCCAAGTCCAAACACAACATTCATTTGTTTTGTACATAACTTATAAACACAGCCTGAAGGTAATTTTTGTACATAACAGTTTTAATAATTTGTGTGTATGAAACAAAGTTTGTGTACAATGAAACAACAGAAAGCAAAGGTGTCACCATCTCAGCCTCTCACATGGACAATTTTAGATTTGGGAGGATTTTGGAATTCCAAATAAGGAATACTCAGTCACCTGTATGTGAATATTGAGAGATCGAGGGTAGCTGGAGACCTGAAAATATGGGCAGTGGTCCATATGCAATCGATGGGTCATTTCAACTGCCATCGCCCTGGCCTCGAAGGGAGAGAAAGTGATGCAGGCACAGCTTCACCATGCTTAGGCCCAGTGAAATATGAAAGGCCCTCCCTCCACCCCAACTGCTACTATCCTGGCCTCGGAGGGAAGGAAGAACCAGCAATATCTGCTGGACTTGATCCCCTTCCTGACTGCCATTTCCTTCTCCTTTTGTGCCATGCCTTTTCAGATTGTAAGCCTGAGGGCAGAGAACGGACAAATTAACAATCTATAAACCACTCAAAGAGCATTTGTGGCTGAAAAGTGGGGTATAAATTCTCTAAATAAGTAAGGGCCACATGCTGCCCACCCCTGTTCTATACTCTCATAGCATATCCTTCCATCATTATAACTAGCAGTTAACCGAGATAGTTAAGTATTTAGAAATGCAGCAGGGCAGCCGCAGAAATACAAGAGTGATGTTCTACATTAGGGGTGGGGTGGGGAAAGTGTGCCCTCCCGACCTCACTTGTACAGTTCCCAACACTCCCCAATTTTTTTAAAATCTTCTGTATGTTTTTCAGGTGAAAATCATTTGAAAATTGTAGCCAAAATCCTCAAATGTATCAAATGCACACACAAAAACCTTCCCCAGGCTCCCAAATAGCCTCAGAAACCCTTCACATCCTCTCCAGTACCTTCTTTTCCCTCTAATTCCCCTCCAAAATTGTGTCAGGAAGTGACACTATGGCACTTTTGGTTGCCATTTTGAAGGGAAAAGAAAGTATTTTGGCACACTTTGAGGAATGGCCTGGGGAGCAATTAGAGGTAGAAAACTGGCCTCTAGCCCTTGCTGAGTTGCCTGTTCATCTTCATTTTATCTCTTTATTTGAATCTTTCTGTCCCACCCTATATCACAGGATCTCAGAGCAGCAGCATGCAATGTAAACAATTTAAAACAATTCCAGTTTAAAAGCATAAGTACTTTAAACAAGATAAGACCACATTAAACATAGTAAGAGTTAAAACCACTGTTGTGTTGATGTGTGCCTTCAAATTGTTTCCAATTTATAGCAACCCTAAGGTGAAATTATCACAGGGTTTTCTTGGCAAGTTTTTTCAGAGGACGTTTGTCATTGTCATCTTCTGAGGCTGAGAGTGTGCGACTTTCCCAGAGACACCCAGTGGCTTTCATGGCCGAGTGGGGATTCGAACCCTGTTCTCCAGAGTCATAGTCCAATGCTCAAACCACTACACCACAACAACAACGTAAAACAATGCACATGTGTACTCTGAAAGTTCCCAAACACTTTCATTTAAAGCCCTGTTTGGCTTTGCCACCAGAAAGAAACCAATGTTGGCACCAGTTGGACCTCCAAGTGGAGGGCATTCCACAATTGGGGTGCCACAGCTGAGAAGTGCTACATACACAGAAATATGTGTTTTCAAATGAGGGGATAAGCGGCCTTAATATGTGGCTGGAGAAATTTTCAATGGTCTGTGAATGTCCCATGTTATATGTAGTTAGTATGAGATGTGAATCAGGATGAGAAGAGACAATAAACAGGCTTAGCGCTAAACAATTTATGGTAAATATAATAGTTGGGAATTGTCCATTGATCAGGAAAAATCATGGATAGATATGCTCCTGTAACAGGAACAGTATAAAAGGAATAAATGTATGGACAGGGTGTAGTGGATAAACTGCTGGGAGATCCAAGCCCAAGTTCCTTTCTAACCATGGAACTCACTGTGTGACCTTGGGCCAGCCATTCTCTCTCAGCATGACCCAGAAGTATAGCAAGGGGGAGAAAAAGGTCCCCCAAAATAAGAATACTATTCCTCCAAATGAAATTTTTATTCAGTCCCTCAATTTCAAATGTTGCAGAGAGTGAGTCACTGAAAATCATGCACATCAAGACCTCATTCCCACTACATAATAAACTGGTTTTCAAACTGATCTGAACTGATTTAAATGGCCCTTGTTCGCACTTGTGCCAAATTTCTGGCACGGTTTGCTGAAGGGGGCGCAGCGCTAAACCTATTTAAACCAGTTCTTCCAGATCCGCAGCATTCCCTGCTTCTTTTGATATGAATCGATTCAGTGCAATGGGAACGCACTGTCTATTTGATTCGGTTCCTGTGGCACGGTCACCCCTGTGAGGTGACTCCATGTTGAATCGATCCATTGCTGAATGTGAACGCAAAGTGGATTAAATTGAAATGGGTAGGTTCGATCACGGCTCGAATAGTGTGAACGTCTATTCGGCACTAAATCGCTACATTGATTCAACTCAAAAATGATTTATTTTGTAGTGGGAATGAAACCCTAAAATGCTTACATCTGCTGTGTTAATATTCCTTTGAGAATACAGTGGGCCCTTGGTATCTGCTGGGGTTTGGTTCCAGGAGTCCCCATGGATAACAAAATTCAAGGATGGTCGGGTCCCATGATATACAGTGGGGTAGTAAAATGATATCCCTTATATAAGATGGCTTGTCTTTTGGAGTATTTTGTTGATTACTTTCAAGCCCTGGATATGTGGATGCAGAATCCTTAGATACAGAAGGCCGACTGTATATTTTGCCTCTTTTCTTTGGATGCCTAAACTGTATTTCTGAATGTTCAACTGATATTTTAAGTTAGTGCAATGCTGGAAACGTGGAGACCGAAGGAAAATTACAATGGGGGCTTACTCTGCCCCACAGGTTTTTAAAAGGATAAAGCATGTGGGGCTGTGTGTAGTTCATATACACTCTATTGTTAAAGGAAAGGTAGGACTTGAAATTAACTAATATATAATTAAATAAATTATTTCCTCTGTTTATTTAATTATATATTAGTTAATTTAAAGTAAAGTAAATAAACAAATGAGCCATATACAATAAATTATGGAGCACATTGCCCAAAAGCAAGTTAGCATTTCTATTACCATTAATATTTATAAGTTTTGCTTTATTAAAGGCAACTCACCTATGTGTTGCCTCTGATGATGAATTAGGCTTCTATTTGCACTGAACTTTTTCCCACATTCTAAGCAGGCATAGGGTTTCTCTCCTGTGTGGACACGCTGGTGGGTAACAAGATGTGTCCGGTTAGCGAAGCATCTCCCACACTCAGCGCACTTATAGGGCTTCTCACCTGTGTGCACTCGTTGGTGCTTCACAAATGCTGAGCGATCAGCAAAAGCTTTCCCACATTCCATGCACCGGTGGGGTTTCTCACCCGTATGTCGTCTGTGGTGCCTTGTGAGGTGCGATGGGGAGCCAAAACATTTCCCACAGTCCAAGCATCGATAAGGCTTCTCTCCTGTGTGGGTTCTCTGGTGCCTCACAAATGTTGAGCGTTCAGAAAAACATTTCCCACACTCCAAGCACTTGCAAGGCTTCTCCCCTGTGTGGACTCTCTGGTGGCTCACAACATGAGACTGACGGGCAAAAGATTTCCCACACACCAAGCATTTGTAGGGTTTCTCCCCAGTGTGAACTCTCCGATGGCTCCCTAGATGTTCTTGGCGTGCAAATGTTTTCCCGCACTCTGCACATTTATAGGGCCGCTCTCCCGTATGGACTCTCTGATGTTTTGCAAAGACGGAACGATCAGCAAAACATTTCCCACACTCTGGACACTGGTATGGTTTCTCTCCAGTGTGGACTCGCTGATGTTTCAAAAGATGGGATTGTTGAACAAAACTCTTCCCACACTCCAGGCACTTATGAGACCTCTCAACCGCATGGATTCTCTTGTGGCTCACAAGGGCTGATGGGTCAGCAAAACATTTCTCACACTCCAAGCATTTATAGGGCTTCTCGCCCGTGTGGTATCTCCGGTGGATCACAAGCTGTGACTGACATGCAAAATGTTTCCCACACTCCAAGCATTTATAGGGGGTCTCCCCTGCATAGATTCCTTGGTGTCTGGCAAGATGGGCTTTACGGCCAAAGTATTTATCACATACCAAACATTTGTAGGGTTTTTCTCCAGTGTGTACAATCTGGTGGCTCATAAGGTGTGAATGACAACCAAAACATTTGCCACACTCCAGACATTTATAAGGCTTTTCTCCCGTGTGTATTCTCATGTGTCTGGTTAGATTTGGTTTCTGAGTAAAACGTTTCCCGCACACAGTGCATAAGTGCTTTTTCCGAGGGTTATCTGCAGAGATACGTAAAGGCAAACAGAGAGAGAAATTATCTGTCTAAGGGCATTACAAAGTATACTGACAGACACAGCTTGAAATCCCCAGTTTTCAAAATTTGGAGGGAAAAATAAACACAGTACAACTCTCGTATCCACAGGGGATACTTTCCTGTGGAAACCCGAAACCAGAAATAATAGCGAACTCTAAATGAAATGAATGCCATCTGGCACACCACAGAATTGCACTGGAAGACCTAGAAATGCCCAGAGAGAACACCTCTCTAGGAATCTCTAGGTCCTCCAATGCAACTTTATGGTCAACCTCCAGCAGAAGCATACCAGAGAATTGTGCTAGAGAATGTATAAAATGCCTAGAGAGAACACATTTTCTGGATGTGGGTAAGTGAAACCGATGGTCCTGGTCCTGCAGATATGGGATGGGGTGTACTGTACTTTCTTGCTGACATACTTCTTTTCTCTATGTTGGGAACATTTAATCATGTGGTCTCTCCTCTGCCTGCTTTATGAGCCATGATATTCGTCCTTCTGTCTGAGTAATGTCTCTTCTGATTGGCAGCAGCTTTTAAGGAACTACCTCCAATCAGAAGTTTTCCCAGAGTTCTGGGAAATGCCAAGCTCTGAAGTACAGTTCTCCATGCAAGTCACTGAGCTATGATCCCTGCATTCACACTTGTGAACAAATATACTCAGGTACAAGAGTGCAGCCTTACTATTACTAGGTGTGGGATTACAGATTATCAGCAAATGCTAAGGGATTGTTTTTTTCATTCATATGGGTCTATTTATACATTGTACTTTTAGGCCACTCATTAAGCAGAACTTACTGGATGTTGGGCAGTACATTAAATAAATATAAACACATATGAATAAAAAATGCATACAAGACGACAGGGATTAGAGACAGCAGTATAATGAATCAAAGAGAAAGTTTCTTCGAATCCATTCTTGAGAGAAATGCAGGATACAAATCAAACACATGAATGAATATAAAACCAGCCACAAAGAATATAAACATGGCAGCATGTAAAACTAAAGCAAAACCAGCAGCAAAAGAGAAAAGTGCTAAGATTTAAAAGCATTGAGAATGGGTCTTCAGATAACACTGAAAAGAGCAAGATTCAGGCACCAGACAAGCTTCTTTGGAAAGGCCATTTCACCGATGAGATGCCACCACTAAGAAGGCCTTGAAAAGGCTTAATCCAGAATGGCTTTTCATTTCCTACTCCACTAGCTGCCCAGCCAGTATTGGGCTCCTTTTCCCTTACAGAGGAAGCAGTAGCCAAATGTCACCATCACCATCTCTCTCAATAATTTGCTGTTTTAATGACAGATTGCTGTTTTTATTCAATTTTACATCAACTGCTCTGGAAGCCCTGTTAACTGAAGAATGAGCTTAACATGCATGAAATAAAATTAATAAATCAGTACACCACAATGGCTTACCTGAGCTGGTGTCAAAGATCTTCCTTCCGTCAAAGGCATGAGATTCTGGCACGCAGGGGTCCTCCCCTTGTTCCAGACGCAAGACAAGACCAGGTTTAGGGGCTGGAAACCCTTCTCAAGAAAAGGAGAGAAGAGGAATCAATGGCATTAATTTTACCTTTAGGAAGGATGCAAGAAGGGTGGGGAACCTTTTTCAAATGTACTGGAATACAACTCCCACAATCCTTCTGCACTGATCATGCTGGCTGGGACTTCTGGGAACTGAAGTCCAATGGCCCAAGATTTCCCCACCCCAGGTATAATGCTAACTGGCTAATAAAATAGTATTACTTTAGCCTCGTACCTTCTAGATGCATAGGACTACATATCCTACACCACCCCACTGGCCATGCTGACTGGGGATGATGGCACTCTTAGTCCTACACAAGTAGAGGTCTTCAACTAGAGGAGAAGGCTGAGAGAAAGGGAAAAAGCTCACACATTTCCTTAATATTAAATAGAAGGGTGGGGAGAAAGGACTCAAAACAAAATAAAAAACAAAAAATGATATTTTAATGTTATTTATTTCAAGAATGTCTATGCCACACTTCAGAAAAAAAGGTCTCATGGCACCTACTAGGTATATCAACACATCTGCCAAATGAAGGCGGTTTCTTACCCA